TACTAAAAATGTATTAAATAAAACATGTTTTATTAACTTAATCTTTATTTTTTAAAATAATAAATTAAAAGTAAATCAAAATAAATATATATAAAAACTTCATATATTTAAAATATATAATTAATAAAAAATATTTAATGTAAAATTAAATCAAACTAAATTTATTTCTATAGCTATATCATATAATTATCCAACAAATATTTGTTCTTGTTTCTTTCTAATATTAATAATTTTTTTGGCCGTAATTTTAATAAATTTATCCATTTTTTTATCTAGGATTTCTCCTTATTACTCATAATCAATTCTTTGAGTAGTTCCAGCAGAAATAATTTAATGTTATTCTCCTTATTTTTTAATATATTTCAAACAATTTTAAAGATTTTTATTATAATATTATAATTCAACTTTTTTTTTTCAAGTGATTATAAGAAGTTCTTTTAAAGATATGTTGATATGAGCCTATAATTCAGGTTTTAGTTTTTTTCTTATTAAATTTATTTAATTAAGCTTTCCTTATTTTCATAAATAGTTCTATTCTTTATTCATTTATTTGTTATTTTGACTATTTGTTTTTATTTCATATTTACTAAATATAATGAGCTTATTTACTAAAGTAAACATTTTCGATTAATACTAGAATTATCAAACGGAGAAATAGTTTTATCAAAATCATAGCATAACCTGGGCATTTTGCTATTGAAATAATTTTAAAATTGACTAATTTTATTTTATTTATGTTTTTGTCTTTATTTCATTTATTCTTTATTATATTTATTTTATTAAATTTTCTAGAATTTACTAAAATTCTTTTAGAATTATTTATTTTCTGTTTTTATAATTATTTAAATAAAATTTTTCAAATTATTAATATTTTCTTTATTTTTCTATTATTATATTTATTTTAAAATATATTTATTATATTTTTTTTATTAATTTTCTTTAAATAGATTTATTACATATATTAATATATAAAATTATGTTTTAGAAAATTTTATTTTTTATAAAATATTATTTTAATCTAAATTCTTAATTCTTTTCGAAAATCTCATTTATTATTAGAAAATCAAAAAATAATTCAAAAAAAAATAAACTATAAAATTCTTATTAAATAATTAATTTAAAAAAACTTAAAAAAAATATCTAAAAATGATCAGCGACCCCTTTTTTAACGAAAGATTAACAAATAGACTTTTTGAAGATTTCGATCGTAATTTCTTTTCTGATAGATTCTTTAATTTTGATAGGTTTTTACATCCTTCTGAATACTCTTAAAAGTTTGACAGATAAAATTTTCTTTAAAATAAACTTAATCAATTGAATCATTATGAATAGAAAATGAAAAGATAAATAAAATAGTCTGAGGAGCATATTTTATATTTAAAATAATAAATGAATGACTGCTAAAGAGATAAGGAAGCTTTGCAAAAAGAGATTGAATAAGAGAAACTAAAAACTACTTCTTAAGTCTAACATGAAAAATTTGGAGAAGGCATTGATGAAAAACTTGATTAATTAGTTAAATTCACAGGAAGAAATAAGAAAGAACTAGTTGAATTAGTTAAAAATAACAAGGAATTGACTGTAGGATAGCTATATGACAAGGCTGTTGAGTAAAAACTTATATGAAGATTATTTTACTTTAATTATATTCTATATATTTTATTATTTTATTTAGTTTTATATATTCTGTATTATGTTATTATTTAATTAAATTGAATGGATATACTAAAAATATTATAATAAAAAATAAAAGTTTAATTATATTTATTTTATTAAAATATTTTTTCTTTAATTGTTTTTAAAAAAAATAAAATACTAATATAAAATAATAATACATAAATATAAATATTTAATAAATCAATTATCAAAAATTATTATTTTTGTGTTTAATTAATTATGTATTTATTATATTTAAATAAAAATTGTTTAAAAAAGATAATATATATTAATTTTTTTTATATATAGATATAAATAATAATATTAATATATTTTTTAATTTTAAAATTATAAATATTTTTTTTTTAAATCAATTTATTTAGAGCTGTTTAAACTGAATTCAAATATCAACCATTTATCGAATGAGTGGTAAATAAATTTAACCCATCCTAAATTGTTTTACAGATATATTTTTTTTATAATGAAATTAAATAAAGTTTATTTTTCTATCGGCTTAATTTTAAAATAAATCAATCTAATTTTTTTTATATTTAAAATTCATTGGTATTTCTTTCAAATTTTTTAAAAAACCCGAAAACAATTATTTTCTTTTTAAATTAATATGTCCTATTTGAAAATAAATAATAATTATTAAGGTAAAATTATCAAATCTTTCTGATATTTTATAAAGATTTTATCATAATAATATAAATGTTTTAATTTATTTTATAAAATATTATTATTATTTTTTATCTTTATATGTATTATTATGAAATAATTTAAATTTTTTAATATTTTGATAAACATTTATTATGATTCTAATTATTGAAATAATTTAATTAAAATGTTTTCCAAGTAATTATTTTAAGTTTAACAAATGAAAATTATAAACAAATAAATTAATTATAATTTGAATATTAATTTAATAAAAAATTATCATTAATTATATAAAATGAATATATTTAATGTAAAATATAATTTTTCCAAAATTATAAATAAAATACAAAGATTAAATTATAATATTATAAATTTTTATAGAATATGGAATTTTTTAATAATAATTATTTATATTAAAAAAAAAATATATTCTTTAATTATAATATATTTTT